AAACGCAGAAAAAAATTCTAAAAAAAAAAAAAAAAAAAAAGAATAAAAGATTTATAGTTAAGAAAATATAGATGCAAATAATTGTAATATTTTTTTCCTAGCGCATAAACTATGCTCAAACCCATCAATGGTTTTTCCACAAATGCAATCGAAAGTAAATCGTATTGTTCGAATTTGCCCTGCTGCTTTGTCCCGTATAACAAAGGAGAGAAGCAAACGGCAACATTAGACGATGATTTTACTATAGACTCTTTCTACGTGACTAGATCTCAAAACCACATGATGCGATTGCAACGTGCAAACACGCGTGAAGACTAAGCAGCTAGAAAGCGAATTGTACGCCTTAGAGAAATTGAAAGAAAGGATGCTGTGGCAAAGGTATAAGAGACCTTGAGTTTACGGTGAACTTTCATAGAAGTTTAGCATGTACACGCTAAACAGATTAGTACTGCACTCAACCCGCAAACGTACTGAATAATATACATTTGTATTTTTCGATGGAATTTCGTAGTCTCCGCGTACACGGGACTACGAGCAATTTTAGAACTATGTTTTAGTGATAAAATTCATACAAGATGATCCTTTCCAAGATGATACCAAAATTTTATTTGGTAATCCAAAAAATCCATACGAGAAGAATAATTCTAAAATTTATACAAATGGTTTCAATTTTGAAAGCCAATATTCATCAAAAAGAAAAAAAAGTTGAAACGCCACTTCTTCTCGTGTCCTTTAAAGATTCGACGAATTTTGTAATTAACTCATTCGAATACCATCACACGTTTAAACTACATTTAAAAACAGTTAGCGTGCCTAATCGCAAAGTCTGTACGTTAAAATGATAAAAAAGACACTGATCAACGTTTACAGATTGTAATTTTATACCTCAATATAAATTTATATTCGTACAGTCGTCGTAAAATGATCAATAATAATTAACATATTGCATATGACACAGATAAAATGTCCTACTTATTAAAATCGAATCGTACTTTTTTATAGAAACCATTATTTCGATAGCCAATTATATTGTATCTCATAGAATCCTAATATAATTGACATAAATGACAGAATTAACGATATGCGATTTGATAACTAAGACATCGTTCCTTTCATCGATAAATGTTCATGTAGACCCTCGTTTATATTCTATGACATCATAACGAGGACGTTCTAACTTTCATTTAAACATTCTAGAAGCTTGATAATCGGCGATAAAGAACACGCGGGTACACTTTCGTGCTGGTTAGTGCAGTATCTTCTTCCGGTTATTTTTCAACTATCATCCGACATCCGATTTCGAGTGTCAATCGCTTTCCCGTAATTGTACAGTATTAATTAAATTATATTAATTAATTCATAGCGAGGAATCTATATTAATTAATATGAATTAGTTGATCGAAGAAGAAGCAGAAGAGTTCGGTTGCTATTTTGAAATCGTGCAACCTTGTAATTGCGAGAATAACGGAGAGAGAACAAAAGGGGAGATGCGAGTTTCCATGTAATAATTTTACGCTTTGTGTAAACGGCCGCGTGTTCGATGCACATTTTCGATTTATCAGTCGTGCATCGATCTGTTGCAAGCAGAGTTATAAACGTATAAATTTTTAAACAAATCGAAATAAACGATTCCGTGGAGGCAATTTACAGCCATTTACCGTATCAACCAATGAAACAATTAAAAATAAAGGAAAATAAAAAAAAGGACGTGGTATTTATGTACGCGAGAATTGACTTAAAGCTATCCTTAGTAGCTAGTACAGATGTATCTATATTCTATATATACGGAAAAATGGTACCTTCGTAATCTTATTTCCCTTTTGTTCGAGAAAAAGAAAACTCATTCTAACTAAACGACGAATAAAGTAGGCGTCGAGAAGTTATCGATTTTTCGACAATAGTCTGAGGAGAATAACCAATGCATCTCTGATGAATATTTTTCACAGAAAGTGTAACGTTTCTGTGCATCTCGATGTTACTACCACGTGCTTTATTACGTGTAGTTCGTCGCGAGCATGGGTCGCGTAGGCAAAAACGCTCCGTACGATATTTTCGTTTAACCTACGTTAGAGAACTTATTAATCGACAATTATGCTGTTTCGAGAGGTCTGCTGTATAAAAAAGTCGTGGCTTCGAAACATTTCATGAAATCACTAATTTTAATCAAAAAGAAAAAGATCTATTGCTCAAATACTCAACTTCATACTTCGTTGTGTTCAACTAGATAAATTTACGTGATAATGCGTGTAATTCCATTGAAAAGAATATCGATCACAAAAGAAACGAAAAACAAGAAATGGAAAAATGGAAAAATGAATCTATTTGTTCCAGATTGATCAATTTCGAAGCAGCACGATTTTCGATCGTTTTAGATTATATAGACAAATTGAGTGTCCCGTGTGTACATGTATGTATGTAAATACGTACGAGTGTGCGGAATACTAACATACGACGTTTGCAACAATAGATTATTTTTCCACGTCTAGCTCGAATGTTTCGAACCTTTGACGAACATCTAAGAAGCTAGATTTAGGACATAAAGAGAAGTACATAAGTGATCGGCAATTCACGATGACATGTTTCGCATAACGGCGATATATAGGTGCCGACTGGAATGTCTGAAAGGGCATATATTACATTTATCATATATTTTATTTTCGTTCGGACGTACAGGCATAGTCACTGAATGTGAGAAAGGTAGAACAGAAACGATGCGTATAATAATTTGCATCTATTCATTATGGGTCACTTTTTTTTCGAATACTTAGGAGTACTTTATTAAGAGAAAAAATGCGTATAATTGACGCAAGGATAGATAATAAAATGGTACCATTGTATGGTTCGTAATTTAGTTAAAATTTAATTAGAATAAATCTATTTTAATACTGCCATTAAAATTCAAAAATTTCTTTAGTCTTACTTATAGAGACTATGTATGTAATTATTAAAAATTCATATATCGGAAAAATAATGGTATAAAGCTGAATGATCTGAAGTTATTTAAGAACTATCGTCGGTAATATGCTATGAAAAAGGATATGTCAAGTTCATTGTACTTGAAGATCGTTAAAATTTATACGGGCAGGAATTAACTTTTACAGGACTTGCATGCTTGTACGGTCTTCTCTTTTATGTTACTATATACGATCGGTTAGTTAAAAATAGTTTCGCCAGTTTCTTGAATCAGTACTCTTTCAGTGAACCGTATTACGATGGATTTGAACGTCGAGTTTCTGAGTGCAATGTCTCTTGGCGTTTGAATTCATTAGGTGATCGCGCTATTTTTCACTATTCAGCTATAGATTCTCTTCAATGGTAGGGTTAACTAAACATATATTATATGTAATAAAGAGAACAGAATAAATGTATGTAAACTTATGTGCCTGTGCACATTTATTCACAAATGATATCCTGTACTCTTGATTTCAATGTATTTTTCTCTAGGTAATCTATTTTACAATTTAGATTTTTTAAAGTAAAATATACGTATTTATTTTTTATTTATTTAACTCCAATTTGTAAAATAATTTTTTTCTAAATATTCGAACAGACACTGAGAAAATATCAAAATAGATTATGTTACATTATCATAACTTTAAGTTGTATGTATTTTTTTTAATCAACAATTAGCGCATTTAAATGCACTAAAAACTTGAATATATTATTTTATATTATTTATGAGAATGTAATAAATCGAGGTATATTAATAGATCGAAATGGATATGCGACTGAATCCTTCGATACTTGGATGTGCTACAAGGTAACATTATAAAAGGAGCTTCATAAGGACAAGAATAAAAAATCGATATCCTGTTAAAAGTTAATCTGTGAAATATTTGTTTTGCATGTATTTCTATAGCTTACCACTCGTCGCTAATGATGAATATATTCTATGTATGCATGTAAAATGTGAGCATCGGTCCTAACATATGTATACATATATGGATGGAATGTGTGTATGTGTGTGCGTGTGCTGTATGTATGTATGCGATCGTGTGGTTAGTCGTCACCAGTCGTCACTGTTAGTTATTGCAGCATGATGAATGCACCGCATTGATTTTAAATCGTGACACCGATGTCACAATTGCTAATAAATAAATGAAGTCATTCGGTATGTGTTAAAAATCGCGACATTTTAAAATATAACGTGATTTACTATAATTTGTGATAAAATGAACCTATACCGTTATCAATACCGGTAATGTATACTAGATACGCCCACAACACGTTAAATGTGTTTCCTTTTGTCAAAATCTTGTAAACATTTTTTAAGAGAAATCCTTATCGAGAAAAGAGGTTAAAAAAGTGCTATTTTTTTAATCATTTTGAAGTAATCGTAAGTAATGGACCGTGGCACTTGATAAGGCTATCTACTTCTTCATCTTGTTTTTCGAATAGAATACGACTGACATACAGTGGGGATTGACTTTTCATACATATGCAGTTGTACATCGCACATGTGTATCTGTTAAATAAAATATAATAAAAAAGGAATGGGAATTGACAGTATGAGGGTCGGAGGAGGCCGATGTCCTTCCCTCCTTGTCGGAGGACTTCTCGTCGCTTGTTTAGTGCTCATTTGCAACTGGTGGACTGCAACTTCTGAAAATATTGATTTAGTTAGACAGATCGACAAATTGAATGAAGAACTTAAAATTAGGTACAGTTATAAGATAATATTGTATATATGTAAATTGATGTATTATATTGTATAAGTTACATTTCCTTTTTAATCATTTTCAAAATTTATTTATCTTAAATAAAAATGTCTACACTATATATATAATTCGTGATAAATTGTATTATCTTGAAATTTGGAAAATATTTTCTTACTAATTAATTTAACAATTGATGTAAACCTAGTATGTTATATGTACATACATTTATATTGTGGTTGACTATATCAATATTTATATCAAAACTATATTTTAGTGCCGAAGAAAGGGATCAATGTGTTACTTTACGTGGAAATTTAGAACAAAGATACAAACATGCAGAAGATAAAGTGGCATCACTACATGTAAGCTTGCAGCAACAAACAGACTTAAAGAAAAAAAATCTTGAATTAGAAGATTCTATTAACATATGCAAAAGTGAATTGGATTCTTTAAACAAGTTAGATGCTACTAAAACTGTAACATTGAAATCATTAAGACTTGAAAAACATACCTTTGATACACAATTAGATGTACAACGGGATGAAAATAAAAAGTTGCAGGAAGAAATAGAGCAGGTAAAATATTAATTATGAAAAATTCTAAATTTTTAAATACATTTAATAAATTTTATTTATTACATTAAATTTTTTTAGCTAAAAGATGATCTTGATAAAATTAAACATACATGCAATCAAACTCCAAACGAAACTTCATTTGTTTCACAATGTAAGTTAAATTTTATATATTTTTTAAATTTTGTTTTGTTTTTTACTTTTTTATATCTGATACTATATACATATATATGTGAAGTAAAATTAAAATTAAAATAATTTTAAATACTTGTGATTTAAATGGCTTGTTTTCATACTCTTCTTTTAAAAATATGAAAAAATTATTTTTCATTTGCACCATAACAGCTTTTTTTAATAGTAATTCTATACATTCTAACATGTACAAAATGTTAATAGAAGCATTAATGCAGCTTCCATTTTATTTAATTTCTGCAAAATAATTGACTTAGCATTATGTGATATTGTGGCAATTTGCCAATTTAGCTACAAGAGAAGTAATTAAGAAGGTTCAGTTGGATCATGTTCCGGAATCAGCTGTAAGAATATCCTTAGCTGGTCAACGTGGTTTGAAATACCATGGAATTCCAATTCTTCCAAAAGATCCACCTGGCGCTGTGCGCCTAAGTCCTCGCTTCTCTGTTACAATGCTGAAAGGTAGTGATACTTTTCTCCTATCTCAGGAGAAAAGAAAACTGTCACAAAAATAAAACAGCACTCGTGCAATAATTCTGTACATAAAATTATTGTATTTTTGATGCATCTATTATCAAACTTCTGTTTCTGAATCAGATGGCTTTTCTAATAAGTATACTGCACTGCTTATCTACTTAATACATAGAACAAATTAAAATGTGAATGAAAAAATAAATTTTCATGTATAATATCAACATGTTATTTTAAAGTAAAAGTATTAAATTAAACATCAGTAATAAAAGGATTGCAAGTTATAATTTTAAATTGTAGTATTACTTTCATTTCTAGTGTAAATTATTAAATTATAAAAGAACTATATTTTCTTTAGTCGTATTTATAATATTTCTTAAATTCTATTCAATGTATTTATATTAATATATTAAGAAATAAAAGTGTATTGATGTTATATATTCTAAATATATTATACAACTTTCATTTATTTTTTTCGATTTAGTATGCATTAAAAAGCTGTTACTAATATATACATATATATTTATATATATATAATGCATAATATAACTAATTGGTGAAGATTTGCTAATATGGGGACTATTAAAATATTATTTAATAGTAATAAATTCATTTGGAAAATGGACTGATGTTACGAAGTCTCATAAATTTATTTTTATTATTCCTTTTTAGAGTAGTAATTTAGTTTACATAAGTTTCAGCTCAAATAAAACCAAAACACCAAAAGAATGATTCAAATGGAGACATAGAGGACAATCCAGGGTCTGGTAAGTATTTGATGTTATTTGATTATATAAATTATTATTGCTTTTATTGCTTTCCATACAACAAGGTATGAAATTCTCAATAAATATATGGAATTAATGTTTTTAATAATTTATGTTTATAGTATACAAAGGTGATAAATAAAATTCAAATTATTTTGTTTTTGTTATGACCTGTATAGAAAATAGTAAACCAGGAAATACAGGAACTACGGATGGCAGTGTAGTAGGAAGTGGGAGAGATCAACATACAAATGAAGGAACCATTAAAGACTGATAATGAATAATTAAACAGTATTTCGTACAATGACTAAAAAATATGTGTCAAACATTTATTAACATAATTGAATTATAACTTTTTTCAAAACAAAAAGTGTTTTGAATACTTTACACAATTCATAATCATTACTTTATAAGTAATAATAGTAGTTTGAAAATAAACAATTTGCAATATTTTATGTTGCAATTACATAAATTCAAATATATGTATTTTAACAGATTAGAAGATTTCTAAAATTGTTTAAGTACTTATTTATTCTACTTAGATAGAATATTGTGTCAATTTTTTATTACTTAATACATTTATTCATTATTTTATACTGTTATTACATTCTCTTTAGTAAAATGAATGTAAATAAAAGAAACGGATGTTTTTCAATATTCTGTTTTGTATTTATTTTATAAATAAAAATATTATCAAAATTCAATATTCATTTAATGTACTCAAGAAATAAATCTTTCTTATATGTTAATTATTACATTATTACGATTCTGTATTTATAAAATAGTATATAATATTACTATAAATATTTTTGCAAGATACGAAAATTAATTTCAATTTTAAGAATGTTTATGAAAATTTTGCATTACACAGAAACGGAACACTTAACGATTAAGACCACATGTTTTGAATACAATAGTAATTTGTATTTTGTTATCTCCAATTAGTGTTTTACAATTATAACTCATTTACATTAATTGTACATTACATTAATTTATTTCAACCATATCAAATTTATTGCTCAATCCCAAAATGAGCATATGTATCATGTGCGTTTAAAAATTTTTTTCTATTAAAATCTTTTTGATAATACATCATAAACTTACTATAAGTATTTTATTGTATTGTCATTGTAAAATGTGTTTTTCAATATTTTTTAAAATACAGAATTAATTTAAATTTATAACATTATTTATATTATTTCTCATTTTTAATATTTGTATATTGAATTTAATTTACATGTAATATATATGGTATACTAAACAAACGATGGACGAACAGACAAGATGTCCGTCACTGATCTAAAAATTGCATTTCCATACAAACGTATTACATAACATTACACTTCCACTTTTTTCATACTTTATATGTGTACATCTCTTGTTAAACAAATATAAAGAGAAATAATATTACATTACATAAATAAAGAAGATATAGATTATTTTTATTATAAATTTTTTAAAAATGAAGATTAAACACATTTTACATAATACATATATTACACAGATTTTGTATTGTATATTTAATCACTACATACAATTAATTTGTATTTATTAATACTTTCTACTGTATTGGTACAAAGCTATTATTGATGTAGTTGATCATCAGTTTTGACAATAATACTTTGTACTTATTCTATAAAATAAAATAATCAGGTTTATTATGTTAGCTAATAAAATAGATTAAATATTAATAATCAGTGTTCCTTATTAGTAAACTGTTTATAAAATGTTATAACAAATATAATACCAACATGTATAAATATTTATAAGATATGATAAATATATAAATGATCACGTTAAACTGTGTGCAATCGAAATTCATAACTGCGTCTGTAAACTGTAAATTATTGCATGTTTAACAAAATGCAAAACTTGACTAGGAAACATTAAGTAACGACTAGACGTTTAGTATATAAACTTACATTTAACAATTGTTCTATATGTTGACTGTTTGCCATTATAGATTTGTTCTATTATCTGGCAACTATATAAAGTATACTGTAATTCTATTAATTTACAACTAAACTTAATTAATTTATAACATATATACTCTAAAAATGAAATCACGTATTCCCAAGCTGCGCAAATTAAAAACTTTAATAAATAACAAATATTAAAGGTCATGAAAATAGAATCTATTAGTTGTATAGTGTTAAAAATTCGATTTTTCTTAGGAGCCGTTTTAAAAGTGTTAGTAGTTTATAAACATAAGATTTCGTCGTTTTTTTTTTTTTACTGTAACCACATATATTCCTAATATTATCTGTTTAATTTTTAAACAAAAATATATCTGTGTAAATATTCATTTTGATTGAAAAATATCATTTTAAAAGTTATTCACTTTGTGCGATTTTTAAATATGTAACATTTGTAAACTTTACAAATTATTATAACTTTCGTATACTTTGTAATAATTTAATCCAATATAAAATCATTCATAATTTTCAATTTTCTGTAGAAATTAAATTAGCATAAATAAATTTCAGTTATTAACTTTATCTCATTAATTACGATAATATAACAATTATTTAGCATTATAAAGCTTTCCATTCATCTCACGTGTACAATATGTTTTGCATTTACAAGATTTTTGTTTAATACCTCATGTTGCTTTAGTATGAAATAGTATTCTTTGGTCATATAAAATATTAGTTACAAATCAGTAAGTAAAATTTTAACTCAAAAGAAGATATTAAGTGGCCACTTCAATTATATTGGTTTAAAAAAGCAAAAATAAAATACTCCTAAGGTAATTAGGCATTGAATTGTAATTGCTAATTATTGTTTTTGGTAACATATATTGTAAATAATATTAACAGCCTTTTTAATAAATAATAATGATGAAACTAATGACATTGGAAACAAAGTTACGAACAACCTATTATTTTTATACTGAAAGCTCTCCAAAAAATATTTTTGTTATTTCTAGTATTTTATATTTAATTTTTTTCAAATAGCAAAAATAATTAAATATAACAGAAGCTATTACTGCAAACTCTATAATGAAAATGATGAACTGCAGTCTATGTTTCACATCTCCACTACTACATTCAAAATATAATGGGGTTAAAGATAAGGCAGTGAGATGTTAGTGAATTAATCCCTAGATTGAGAGACTGTTATGAAATACAAAAGAATCATAAAAAATTTTGTTCGTTGTGTAATCTGTAAAACTGCTTATCTTGTCACATTCTGTTATTTTAAAACAAACACTATCAAAAAGATATCTATTAAAATAGTTTAGTTTAAGGAGAATAATGATGATTATTAACATGTCTTTGTTTCCTTCTAAAAATAAAGGCAAAAATTGAACGGAGCCGCCACCATCGACTGTGTTTACGTACTGAATTCTTTGATCTCTCTTTAGCTCGAATTTGCCTGACTAATGAATAAAATGCATCATCTATAAATTGTCTAAGGGCTGCAGATGTTTCATAAAAAGGACAACCAAGTTGTTCAGCAAGTGCTTTTCCTTCTTCTGTTGTTACCTATAATAATATGTACCTTGCATTAAAAAAATCATTGAATCTCAACTGAAGCAAAATCTATTGTTCTACCTTTCGTTGATGTTGTAAGTCAAATTTATTGCCAACTAATACCAATGGTATATCTTCATTAGCTCTCACACGTGTTATCAATTTTCGATATTCTAAAGCTTCCTGAAAGCTATGCCTATCAGTTACAGAATAACATATCATGAAACCTTCCCCACATCTCATATATTGATCACGCATAGCTGTAAATTCCACCTATACATAAAAAAATGCATTACATATATAAAATTATAATACAATTATTTATTTCCTTATGAAATCATGTTTTGTAAAAACCTGACCTGTCCTGCAGTGTCTAATATGTCTAAAAGAGCAGCTTCACCATCTATAACTGCTTGTTGTTGATATGAATCCTCTGATAATAACAAAAAAAAAAAAAAACATTAAATAGTATATTACTTTGAAAAATGGGAAATATTAAAAAAAGATTTTGTAAGTATTGTTAAATATTTCAATTTTTATTGCACAACATATATGGAATAAACTCTTACCTATAGTTGGATCATGATAATCAAGAAAGCTATGACTGACAAATTGCAATGTGACTGCTGAAAAATTGGTTTCTATGATATATATGTAACATAATATATTTTTTATCCAAATGACATTATAAACTGTGTTACCTGATTTACCAACACCACCATCACCCAAAACAACAATCTTATAAACCCTAAGTCCACCCCTGGTAGTGGGTTGTGAGACTACCGGTACGTCATTCTTGCCGTTCAAGGCTACGTTCTTATCCTGCAGGATGTCAGCTGACATCGTTAGGAAATTTCTGCTTACCGGTAACCTAATGCTTGCTACGGCTACGACAAACTCGCACTTTTACAATCTGACTGACATACTTGGTCACGTATCGGAACACGCGCGTAGACACACCCGTATCGGTTGTTAGATCGCGAAAGATACGGTACATGTTTGATCGCGATTGCAAGCCACCGTTTTTTGTAATAGCTCGGAACCGCACCGAGCGACACTTAATAGCTAGAATTTATGCTTTTTACAGTTAGACACAGCATGGCTGATGAGCATAGGCTGACGACCGGGCTTGACAGAATGTGACAGTCGCGAAGATTAAGCACGCGCGCAATCGTTCATTCAGGGGCGTATCCATTTGCTCTATTGTTAGTATAATAGATCCATTTATATATATATGTGTATAAATATACGTATACATATATCGCAATATTATATACATATATTTATATACATATATTTACATACATATATTTATATACATATATTTATATGTATATAAAATATGTATTATAATTTAATTTAATGTTTTATAGGTAACTTGATTATTCATTTTTCCATAACAGTTTCCGAAAAAAGTTTCGATTTTCAATGAAGTTTGATCAGAAAATTATGTTAATATAAATATATGAAATAAATACTTTAATATTATATTACTTTCATATTTCATTCTGCTTTAAATTTCTATAATAATATATATGTATATTATCATAACAAGATTAGCATTGGAATGTAGACAACTTATATAAACATGTAAATTAATTACAAACCAATCATAACACAAATTTATTTTTATTTAATTGTACGGTATTGGTTAATAAATTAACTTCCTTTATTTATGCATTATAATTGTTGTAAAATGAAATATATTTTCATATTTTTGGATGATTTATAGATATATTTAACTATTCACATTTCATGTTACAAATCATAAATTTTGATCAATATGAAATAATCCAGTGCAATATGCATGCGTAGAATAGTGCACGCACATTAACAAAGAATTTCACTTTGGATAATAATGTACAGAAATTTATTGATTAATATAAACAAATATGTATTTATCCTATGTACGCTCATCATAATTTATTAATCTCGTAGTTTACACAATAATAAAATTAAAAATACAAATTTTAATTTATATATTCTTTTAAGATAACATTACGTTTTAATAAACGTTTTTAATACATAATTATTATATATATTTCATCCTTTTTGAATATATTAAAATAAACATTTTTTGGAATATGAATGTATATATAGTATACGAGAATAATAAGAATATATTTTTTAACATATTTATTGTTCTTTCCAATATTTTTACAGAAGTAAAATATATTTAAAATAAAAGAGAATAAAAAGAACTATTCTTGTTTCTTATAGTATAATATTTTTATATGTCTAAAATTATAAATATTGCAATGAAATAAGTTCGGCGTCTTGTGATTTGTATATAGACAAGTTTATGATCCAAACTAACAGGGTGTCAGTGCCGCTATGATTTGGTAAAAGTATAGGGTAGTAAGCAAGTCTTTCGTGACTAAAGTGCAAAATAATATTACGTTGATCTCAATCTACATATAAGTAGTATATCTTCGATCTGATGTTATCTGGCAGAATTGTCGTGCTCAGATAAATCAAATTTCTCAAAATACGTACATGTTTGGTTTCAGAGGTTATAACTATTGTTATAGACACCGAGCATTATGAAGACTTTCTCCAATAAAGCGAAACCGAACATTGAACACGAACATACGCAGATACTTTCGTTGAAGAAAAGTACTGGTGTGAACGTTATTCATGAACATTTTCCTTGCCATATTATTATTTTCAAAATTCAACTAACATGTTTGGCAGATTATTATCATTACAAGATAGAAAACACGTGGGCATTTTAACAGTCGTGTGTAAATAGTAAATAATAATGAAATAAGTGTATATGTAATGTCCCTTGTGTTTTTGATACCTGAGTTTTTTGATTCTTCAATTAACATTCTCCTCTGACACTTTGCTCCTTGTAATCAATGATAGTAAACAAAGTGTAAAGGTGAATTAAATGTTTTTAAATATCATTAAACAGGGTAAAGATATATACATATATATGCAAAAGTTAAAAATAATTGAGATTATTAAAATTAAAAGAAAAATTACCTAGAAGACAATTTTAATCCAGAAGCACAGAATAATGTATACCTTAAACAAAGCTGTAAGTTTTTATTAGTAATCATATAAACTAACATATTGTGTAATATAGAAATATTTCAACACATTTACAATCATTTTACAGATACTCAAATTTTTTTATAGAACTTATTATACTGCATTAAGTTGAATAGAAGCTTCTAAAACTGTCACTTAATAAGATAAGAAGTGACATGTCCTTTAATATATGCATGTGGTTACCTTAACCAAATTCTTGTAAAATGTCAGTTGCCTCCTGTTCCAAAACTAGGAGAATGGATACCATAAATAATACAGAAGAAATGACATTTGAAAAATGGGAACGTTTTCATAATTGGGTACATTGTGTATGCATTGTTACTTTTGATCTTGAATTAGGCCAAGCTATAGAGGTATTCTTTTGATATTTTATATTTTATTTTGAATGCAATGTTTTTATTTATAGACATCTTACATTTCTAATAATATCTTTTTTGTTATATAGGCTATATATCCATTTCATATCAAGTTATCCGAACAAGAGAGATCTAATGTTTGTTATCTTGCTTTTCCTGATTCTAATTCTGGCTGTATGGGAGATACACGATATCATGTCAGAATAAGACAGAATGGAGCTGTAATTCAAGAGACTAAAGCGTTAAAAGAATATGATAGAAGGTCACCTCCATTTTTACAATGTGATAAAGATTATTATTGGGGTTATGTGTACTTTCGTCAAGTGAAAGATAAATCTCTTCCAAGAGGATATTTCCAAAAGGTTCATTTCATACAATAAAATAACAAACATATAAGTAAATAATTTTAAAGCATAAGTAATAACTTTATTCATATACTAGAGTATTGTTATAATTACAAAACTGCCATTTGTGAATCTCTTTGGTGAATTGTGTGCTTTAATTGCACCTGAATTTTTTGAAATGGGCAATGCAGTGATGGAAGCTATCATAAGAGAAATTGACCAATGGCCTCCTCCAACACCTGGCCAAATAGTGCATTTACCACTTATAGGTGTTTTATTTCAAGTAAGTTGGTGCACTTTATTTCTATTTTTTTTCCTGTATATTATATTTTATTGTGTATATTTTAGACATATATTCCAAATCAAAACTATAAAGCAACTGCACCTACAATTGCTGCCATGGATCATGCGCCAAACTTTCATGCAACGCGAAGACTAATTTTAGCATCTGCCTATGAAGGAGATATGTTTAGAAGTTTAGCTAGTGTTGTAAGTTATGTACATTTATTATGGGAATTAGTATTACTTAGTGAACCAATTGTTGTTATGGCTGGTTCACCTACTGGTTGCTCTGAAATGGTCCAAGCACTTATTGCGTGAGTGTTTTATTATATTTTAGAGTTACAAAATAATTACAAAAAAAGAAATAAAAAGGTTTACTATTTTTAGGATGATTGCACCATTAAAATATTGTGCTGATCATCGACCTTATTTTACAATTCATGATTCTGAATTTAAAGAATATACTACAGATGCTCCATCACCTCCTGCTGTAATATTAGGTGTAACTAATCCATTTTTTGCCAAAACTCTACAACATTGGCCTCATATTATAAGAATAAGTAATGGAACTAATAATGGTAAGTTCTATGAAATAATGTATAAATACCTCTTAATTTAAATATCTTTTATATTGTAGAAAATCAAAGGTACAAAATAAAGAAATCTGAGAATCTCAAAGTATTAGACTCAAAACCAGGTGTTTATACACAGTATAAACCTTTCCTTCACAAGGATAAAACTATATTGAAAAAATTATTTAGAGGTATCCAGACAAAGAGACCAGGAGAAGTGCAAACAGCTCTTTTGAAACGTCATTTGATAGAACTGACTGAAAGTTTTATGATACCTCTGGAAAGATATATTGCAAGTCTTATGCCACTACAGAAGGACATATCACCTTTTAAAGTAAATATTATTTTGTTTCTTTAATATTTAAAAAAGAAACTATAATTTACATACATTGTAATTTTTAGGCTACTCCCATACCTGAATTATTTAATCCAGATGATTTCCTAGCTACATTAAGTAGTGCTGGACCACAATTAACTACTGGCATAAAAGGAGATTGGGTAGGATTATATCGACGATTTTTTCGTTCACCTAACTTTTCTGGCTGGTTTCATACTAGGTATACGGAATTATCACAAAAATTACAGGTCATACAACTTGAGGCATTATCACAAGCGGTATGTTTAAAATGCAATTTAAAAAATTTTGTTTTTGTTCTTAATTTTTTAAAATAAATTATTATATTTACAGGATTTAAAAACATGGGTGCAAGGAAAACAGGAGGTGGAATTGGTAGATATGATTCTTAGAATTCGACAGAAATTAGAAAAGACTTATATTGATGAAGTACCTATAGGCAATTCTGTAAGAGAAAAGCTTCAAGAAAGAATAAATGACATCACACATACGTTGCCAGATGATTTAAAAGACATTTTGAATCATGAATCTTGACAATATAATTACTGTATTAATTTCGAAACTCCTTAAATGATATTTATATGCAAAAACAATTAAAACTCATCAGCATGTGGAGAAGGAATTAGATTCAAATTATTTTCAAAAATTGCTCTCTATTGATAAATAATAAATAATCGACACAAACGAAAATAAAGGAATAGTGATTAAAATATGTGAAACATATAAGAGATAAAAATGTAGGAAAATTATTATGTTGATATACTTTGAAAAAAAAAGTAATTCATTCTTATTTATAATTTAATTTTTAATTTAAATGATTAAATACTCCAAGGTGTATGTTAAGGATAATGCGTTTTTTTTTACATATAACTTGAAACGTGATACAAAAGTCAATAATGGTGCGTGAAATATTTCATAGGTGCAACTAAAGACTTACAAGCTCACGTTAGTATTCTTATATTAATGAAATGTTAGGCATATTTATTACATTTTTTCTCTAAATGATTATATCATTTTCCAATATCTTATAATTTATATGTACGTTATATAATCAAGTTTCTTCCTAACATTGTTTATTTAAATAATCTTGAATAATTTTGGACTCCTTTTTTGAATGTCCAAAAGGAAAAATATTTTTTATTCTGAAAGTTATAAATTTTAATTATATGTAAATGTAACGACAGAAATGAGAGTATTAACTGCTACGTGTACATATGTGTTTAATTTGAGATCTGTAAATATTGATACGAATGATAAATGTAATAAAAATTTATTTTAATAATATTGTGGTATTTATTGTAATTACATTATCCACTTAAGTAGTGTAAATAATTTGGAGATGTGATATCTCTATAATGTGATTATGTAATATATCCAATATACCTAATGTTTATATAACAGTTTTTGTAAAATTTATATTATCTTTTTAAAATAATAATTCTTTGATCAATATGTTTCTATTAATTGAATTTTAATTTTTCAAATGTAAAGTGAATACATGTCCTCACATCAAAATAGTTCTTTTCTTCATTCTTATTGGTTGTTGAAACCACGCTTTGATTCTCATTGGTTATACATGGAATCCAGTAATAATTCGTTTATCCAATATTCTGCCAATCCGGAAGAATGATCTATATGGCAGAATTTCAAAATAAAATACTAACCGCTTGTCGTGATTTCATGAGCTTCCTGTGAAAGAAATGTGTACAAATGTTTATTTTTATGCGATTATTAAACATTTTATGTACATGTTAAAATAGTTATTAATCTAATATTTTGTAATTAATTATCATAGATTTAAAATAAAAGGTACGTGTTTAAAATTGTTAACAGTTTATCGGTAGTTACAAGTTTTATAGACATTTAAAACTTTGTTGTAGGAGCATGTAATAATAAAGGAAGATATAAATTCTCCTGTTTGTGGTTTACGTTGTTTAAATAACATTTGCTTAACAAGTGTAAAAATACTTTATTTTTCATGTAACATAGTTAATTGAAAGCATTATCATAAAAAGGTATACAAAAGTTTAATCTTATTCTTGTATTACAGATTGATATATACAGATTGATATAAAAAGAATAAATGTAATGTTTAAATTTTTGTAGATGGATAACACGTTAGATTCTATCAGACCATCTTATAATACTAATCCACAAGATGAAATGTCATATTTATTTGGAAGAGACCCAAGTATATTAGCTTATGGACAAAGGCCTTGTGTTTCAAATGATACAAAAAAAAATTTGCTCTCTGTCTATGAAACTGAAGAATGCAATTATGTTGAAGAAAGTAGTTCTTTAAATTCTGAATCACAAACTGTTAAAGTATATCTAAGGATAAAACCATTTCCAAAAAAGTTAAAATTATCACAAGAACAGCAAGAAGCATACAAAATTATCAGTTCAACCACATTGGTCACAAAATTACCTACTTTAGATAATAATACCAGTAGTCTCAAAAGATCTAATAGTACTGATATTTTATGTAGAAAATTCACATTTACTAAAACCTTTGGACCAGAAACTACTCAGTTAGAATTATTTGAACAAGCTATAAAGCAGCAAATGGTAGATTTTTTAACTGGACAAAATTCTACTATTATGACTTATGGTAAATATAATTGAAATATATTTTAAGTAAAATTTATATATAGTGATTTAAGTATTTGAAATCATTCTACTATGATTTTATAGGTACTACAAATTCAGGGAAATCTTATACATTACAAGGAACTACTACATCTCCTGGGATGATACCAAGATGTTTAGAATTTGTGTTTTCAAATATTACTTCGAAACCCATTCCTTCTTATAAACCTGTGAATCACTGTGATGTTGTTATTTTGGATCCTGTTGAACGTGCTCAAGAATTAGAGATAAAAACCAAGCTATTAACATTTGCTTCTGTAGATAAACATCAATACATTAATGCCTACAAGGAAATGCAAAAATTATTGCAAGAAGAATCACCTGTTAGATCTAGTCAATGCATTGATGATCATTATTCTGTTTGGGTTTCTTTTGCTGAAATTTATAATGAAATTGTATATGATCTCCTATCAAATGAGTGTCAGAAAAAGAGAACACCTCTTAAATTAGCAACAGATGGTCAAGGAAGAACATTTATTAAAGGCTTAAGGACTATTTGTGTGAACTCTGGTTCTGAGGCTTATCAAGTTTTAATGGCAGGACAATATAATTTGAAAGTAGCTGCAACTGCTTTAAATGCAAGAAGTTCAAGATCACATTGTATATTCACTATCAAATTATTGAAGTATTGCATTGAGAATGATCCCAGTTTAGTTGAAGTTAGCACGTATGTAAATGATATTTCTTCTTTTTTCTATTAGGTGCCAATTTCTTGTTTTTTTATCTGTTTTCTTCTTTTTCAATAATAGATTTGCATTCTGTGATTTGGCTGGTTCAGAACGATTGAAAAAGACATTAAATATTGGAGATAGATTAAAAGAAGCACAAAATATTAACACAAGTCTGCTAGTATTAGGGAGATGCTTGAAAACTATTCATGAAGGACAATTATCAAAACCAAAATTAGAACACGGTCCATTTAGAGAATCAAAATTAACAAGACTGTTTCAGAAGGCATTATCTGGTAGAGAACATATGGTTCTAATAGTAAATATCAATCCTATTCCAAACTTATACATTGAAACACAAAATGTGTTAAATTTTTCTGCCATTGCAAAGAAAATAGTTATAGAAAAGGAGAAAGTACATCGGAAAAAAAAATCAAGATTTTCTAAAATAGTTACACAAAGCATAAAAACAGTAACTGACTGGGATGCTACAGAATTAGAAAGTGAAGGTGTGTGTTTGTTAAATAATTTTAATTTAGAGCATGTTCATAATTTTAACTCACTCTTACAGACTGGCAGAACATAGTTGATGACAATGCTGTGTCTGAGTATACTCGACTCGATAATTATAATGAATTAATAAATGAAAACGAGAGATTGAAAAAAGAAATTGCCTTTGTAAAAAGTTCTGCATTAACTCGCGATCTCCAAATACGTCAAGAAATGGCTGATACTTATACATCTATGATGAAAGAGCTTGAAACAGAATGGAAGTATGTACTTCTCTTTTGTCCTGTTTTTCTATTGTAACATTTTTTATTTAACTGTAAACAAATATAATTTAGGAATCGTATAAAAGATGTAGAAGAACAGCAAGAAGATGTACTTCAATGGTCTGTAAAACAAGTTGAAGATTTCTATAAGCATAAATTAGATCAACTTAATAGTCGGAAGAGAAGACGGTCATCTGAGTCTGTTAGTAATCCAAATGATGACTCAATAAATATTAAAGAATTAGAAGTAGAAAATTCACGTCTGACATCGAAGATTGTTCTTTTAAAAAATAATGTGAAAGAACTTAAGGAAATAAATCAAACTTTAACTGTTGAAAAAAATAAAGTAACTTTTGAACTTGGTTTGATAAAAGAAGATTTAAAAAATGTAAAAAATTTATTAAATGCAGCTCAACAAGATGTTTGTTCTGATGAAGATACAAAGTATTATAACGAGGAATTGAAATCTCAATTGTTTGCCAAGCAGGAACAAATTAAGGTATTAATGATACTTAATTAGTACGACATTTATAATTTATGTATTTGCTTCTTTTTTCATTGCATAACTACATTATTTTAGAAACTTAAAGTATTTTTAAATGAAGCAAAAGAAGAATACATTGCCATCACTACTGAAGTAAGAGAAAAGGAATATGTAATTAAAGAGCAGGAAGAAGAACTGTTAGAGAAGCAAGAAACAATAGATGAATTAGAAGCAGATCTTGTACATATTAATATGTGTTTAACAGAGAAAATCAAAGCAGTTGATGTATTAGAAGAAAAATTAGAAAAACAAAATAAAAATATTATAGATCATGAAAACAAAGTACAAGATATGAAAGAACAAATGAATAAATTGGAAAATGGAAAACTGTTGTTATCAGATGAACTTGAATTACTTAGAAAAACAGTCGATACTAGAAAGAGTATAAATCAAAATTTAGATTTTAAAAATGATGTATGTTATTAATGATATTTTAAAAGTATACAATAATTTCATTTACTAATACTATAAATGTTTATTTCATAGGAGTGTAAAAAATCTTATGATTCCTTCAAAGATGAAAAAATTGTTATAAAAGAAGAATTATGTTCTGATCTGAAAGTAGAGATAATAACAGAGGATTCAAATAAGAATAATAAAGATACACAAACAGGTAAATACATACTTACATACATACATATATAACTTTTAAGTTTGAAATGATATAATGTCTGTACTCTTGTAAATATTTTAAAATCATGATATTATGAGATGTATTATCCATTGTATAGAATATATAGTTGAAACCCAAATGGACGAAAAACTGCTCACAATAAACAAAGAAAATTCTGCATTAAAAGAAAAATTAATGCGAAGTACAACTGAGATACAAAACTTAAAACACGAATTAGAGTTTGCTAAAGTTCAATTAAAGGAAATTTCGGATCAAATACTCAATTTAAAAATGAATAACAAGCAGCCTGAAATTAAAAATGAGGAAAATATGGGACACAAAATAATAGTAGAAACAGTAGAAGTTGGTTGTCAAGTGTATGCAGAATTTGATGAATACTGCACAGAGACATCTAAAAATGATGTATATAATAAAAGTTGTCAAACTATTGAAAATCTGACAAAGGAAGAGAATAATCCGACAAGTTTTATTGATCAAACTGATGACTATGAGGTTATTTTGGATCAATTAGCAAAATTGTTGATAAAATATGATGACATCAAAACACAATATAAAGGAAAATGTTTGGTTGGTAATAAAATGTAGAGTAAATCTCATTTTTTCACCTTTACTTAATTATATTTTTTACTTTTAAGATGTTAGAAGAACTGGATCGAGAGATATTACTTTTAAAACAAAGAATAGAAAAACTATCTGAAGAAAGTGGTACAAGTAAAAATGATGCTGAAAAGTATAAACAATCGACCGAATTATTTCAGAAAGAGCTTTCTTTAATAAAAGAAGATAAAATGCAGATTCAAGAGGCATTAAAAAATACCGATGCCATTAAGAGTTCTTTAGAAATGAAAATTAGTGATTATGAACGACGACTTAATGAGACTGAACAACAATTCTCTCTTAAGAAAAATGATTATAATCAGTGTACGGAAGTAAGTTTTTTTTTTATTTCACAATTTTTTATATGAATGTAATGATTAAAAAAAAATTATATTATATTTACAGAAATTAGGTATATTACAAGCAAACTTTGATACCCATATTTCAGAGGTATGTACATATAATATTGAATATAATATGTACATATAATATTTTATATAAATATAATATGTTTATTATTATAGTGCAAAAAGGAACATGAAGAAACAGTTAATAATTTACAAAAGAAATATGAAGAAACAATTAATAATTTACAAAAGGAACTTTCATCTGCTGTAGAAAAGAGTAATATTAAATCACAGGTATTCAAGTAAATTCGTACAAACATATATATTTTTCTTCCTTTATTTTTTATTTCTACTTTTTAAAAAATATGCCATTTTACTTGAATAAAATTTTTTAGTGTTTGGATGTTCATGCTGCTAAAATAATAGAGCTGGAACATAATCTTGGAAACTTAACTGAACTCCAAGAGAAGATTTATGAATTAAATAAAAATCTAGAAACATGCCAATCTGAAAAAGATCAACTACAGAAATTATTGGATGAAAATAATGATAAACTTCTAGAACTCGAAGATTGTTTAGAACATGCAGAAGAAAAGGATCGCGAAAAAGATGCTGAAATAATTACACTTCAGAAAGGTTAGTCTTGTTCGTAATAATAATAATAATTTTTCAGTATGACAGTGCCAGTTTTTAAATTATTGTACGTAAAATGTTATATTATGAATTGCTACAGAAATGAAAAATATGATACAAACAAACGAAAATGATGACAAAAGCGATAAATTAATGGAGATGGAGATGAAAAATACAATTAGGGATCTAATAGCTACGAAAGAGATGCTTTCCAAAAAACAAAAGTATATAGAACAGCTAGAAGTACAGGTCAAAAAGAGTGAACAAAACGCCAAGATAGATCAAATAGAGAAAGAAAGGTTAAGAACAATGAATGAAGAATTGAAGAATACTTTAATCGAGAAAGAGCGCGAAATGGAATCATTTATGAAGAATAGAGACGAGATGGTGGCAAAGTATGAAAGCTTAGTGAATAGTCAACAAAAAGAGTTAGAAAAACAAAAACGAGAGGTATTTTTGTTAAAAAATTTAATAACTATATTTTATATACTCAATAACTATTTGTTTTAGGTGACAGAGAACCATTCGAAAGAAAAAGATTATTGTGAAAATATATCTGAAGACGAAGTGGTACTTAAGGAGCGCCGAGTAAGACGACCACCAAAGAAGTTTACACCATCATCGCCAAAACAGGATGAAATTTCAGTGATTGATCTTTCTAGCTCTGATTCGAAGTACATTATATAAAAACGATATAAAAAACATATATCTTTGCCAGTTAAAAATTTATATTGAAACATGTTGCTTTTATGTTTTAGACGAAGCGCAAAACGGATTAATTTGCCACCTCCGGAACAAGTTTCGGAAAAGAAGAAAAGTAATCGCAAAAAAAAACTGTTCGTGACAGAGGACGAATCTTTGCAAGATATTGAACCAGTCGAGGTAATTTAAAAAATTATTTTATGACCTAATTTTCTGGTAAAAAGATTGATATGAACTTTTTGTTTCTTTAGAATTCAATAACAGTTACACCAATGGCACAATCTCGTACTTTAAGAAGTAGGCGAAAATAAAATATTGTAAATAGATAGTGTGAGTAAGAGTAAATTGCGACGAGAAACGAACACGCGTGTGAGCGAAAATAAGGAATAATCACAGTGTATTAAAATAATGTATTTTTTAAATATTACGTTGAGTTTTATTAATCACATTTAAAGATAAACATATCGATTCGAGTAAAACAACTTCATGAACATAATAATACCAATATTAACATATTGTATACACATACACTGCAATTTTTCTTTTTAACTTTTGTCTAGGCCAAAAGTTTTTTTTCTTTCTATGTACAAAGCTTCAGTATTGAAAGGAACTGATTGACAGGTAAACACTTATCAGTTTATTCATGTTTTTTTTTTTTTTAGTTTATTTTTCACGAGGTACACGACCTTTATTGTTACATTCCGCACTTATATTAATTATTCTCTTAATAGTTCCGTAATTAATGCTTATCCGCCTTATACTCTCATTAATATTCATAATATATTATCATACTTTCAATGGAGTCAACAACATATATATATATATTTTTTATTTATTTATTTTCATATGTATATTATGTATATCATTTTATATATACGTATCGGGTGTATGTTCATTCTTATGAGTGAATGCACTGTACCATAGGATAGCTTTTATTACACAATTCACAGAGTTGTTTGAAATAGGGGGACTGCCGAAGTACACCATGATGATTCATTTTTTTTGTTCATACTCTTTTTTTCATTTTTCTCTTTTGTTGTTTTGGCCATTGAAGGGAAAGACGTTCATTTATCGACATATACATATTATATATTACTTTCCTGATCCACTGTTCTGGCCGCACAAAAGATGAAGGACTCGTCGCGAAAATGTATTTCTTTACGTCTCAGTCGGGGCAAAGAGCACACATAAAACGCGGTCTATATGGCTCGCAACACGTTGCGTGTACAAGAAATATAACACGAGGATCGCTTTATGAACAGAATCATAGAATATAATAATATACACAACAGGTTGTCAACGAAAGACACGTTTAAACTTCGCGACAAAATTTTACATATACCTCCCGCATTCGCGTTCGCGTCGGTGTCGCCTCGAAAAAAAATCACAAGATTACCGGATGTCTCGGTCCGATCGTGCCCATATAACACGCACGCATTTTTGTCTTTCATTAATATTCCGACAAACTTAGGCCCAATTAATTGCGACAGCTTAGCATTAATATATATATATACCTCATATGATATATGTATCATATATCGACCTAACGACTAGTGCGAATGAAAAACTTCACAGCGAGTTGGGTGAAACACGCGCACACGGTGAACCAGCGTTGAACTCAGAATCAAGTCTTTCTTAAAGGACTAGACTTCCTTTGTGAGTCTCTAAGCTAAATGTACATTATTTTTCTTCTTTTTTATTCTCAAGTACACATCGAATTAGTCGGTCGATGCACGAACAAAAGATAACATAGAAAATCTCTGGGAAAAATTGACGAAAGATCTGGACTCAACATAGTGGCGCACGCAAAACGATCGTTTCAACCGGAAGTGCAACGATTTTCTTCGTTTGCTTCTTTTGACTTTTGCTTCACTTCTTTTTTCAAACGTTCGCACGATCATCCGCACCGTCGTTTCTTTTGACTTTCATTTGCATCGGTGGCAGCACAGTCGTTCACCCTTCTCCTTGTATCTCGCGTTAATCGTTCGCAGCTCGATATAACGATCGATTATTTTCTATTTTCTCATCGATTACAAAGCATCCACGCGATAGAGGGGGGCACACTTTAACGAAGATAAAACATCGTGCCGTGAAACGCTAAACTTTATTCATCGCGACTCTTTTCTGGTCTACATACGAATTGTTGTTTCGCCCCGGTTTTTCGACGAGGTCGAGGAAATAATTGGACGGCATGTTGCAGAAAATCATGTCGAGAGTGTTGTTTCCTATCATCGATTCGTTTTTCTTCTTAATTAGTTCTATTGATAACTCGAGCCCCAACGTTACACGTGGACACTTTTAACCGACATTAAACACGCTTTTAACGATATGAGTGCAAATTGTGAACACGTTAACAAATATCTGGGAGAGTTTCGATTAAAGAAAAATAACGTATTTCTCGCGACGTAACATCGATAAGTGTGATTGTTAATAATGATGATGATAATGACGATAATAATAATAATAATAGTAATAATAATAACAATAATAATAATAAAAATAATAATAATAATAATAATAATAATAATAGAAACATCAATCTGCGTGGATCTTTACCAATTTCTTCTCTCTGTTCGCTATCTCTCATCGAATCGAGTTCATCTTTGGCATGTAACATCCACGATCAACGAATAACGATAAGGGATCGTCGCGGAAAAGTGCGATCACCGTTTGTAAGTAATTTCCTTTCTCTCATTTTCTCTCTTTCTCTCTCTCTTTCTCTCTTAGGGGAAAAATATAGCCGACGATACTCGACGATACTCGTTCGAAACGGTGTCCTTCGGCACACGGCAGTGTAATGTGTCACTTCGGATAGTCCTCGATCCTTCGAACCCGATGAAGATGCGTTCGAATGTTTTTTTTTTTTCATTCTTTTATTTTATTTTATATTACTTTTTAACGTATATATATTCTGTAGCACAGTGCATTTCGGATAACGTTACATAACACGCTCGATGCTGTAACTAGCGTACTTTTATTCGTTAATTAATTTATATTTTTCTTCATTAAATACATTTAACGATTGATATTACAAAGGGGAAAGCTTGGAATTTCTTTTTTCTCACTTTTTTTTTGTTCTCTTTAAATCTTATATATTCGCCTCTGTAATCGAGGGCGAGTCGTCTAACAATTGACATAAGTGTGGCGTTAAAAGTATCGTCTCGTGTGCACACCCGTCCACCGTCCCCAAAGTCCACGGTTTATCGATGGATGGAATTATCGACGGAGATTCGAGAAGCGAAATCGATCGATCGATCGGCAAATAATCATTCTCCACGTTCCCCGCGCATCCCGTGTTTCTTTTTCCCCCTTTTTTACTCTTGCCATCTAGTTCTTTTCTCGTCTTCATCGTGCTCGAGGATCGCAAACGTACATGCTGTCGAGGAAAGCACCCCGAGGAGGAGGAGACAAGGAACTGGCTCCTTTCGTCTTCCCCTTCGGACTCCCTTTTTCATCCTTCTCTTTCGATTATCGATTATAATATATTTTTTTTTTTAACAAAAAGGTACTCAGACGTAGTCTCGTTTTCTCTCGCGTCTCCTTCTTCTCTCTCACCCTCTTTCCCAGGCTTCGTTACATAGCGATATCATCCGAGCAGCATCGACAAATTCGAACGAATCATCGATCTTCCCCAAAAATAAAAAATAATGTCTTCCCCCAATGGCGATGTCTGAACGAACGTGCAAGAGAGAGAGCGAAAAGGAAAGGAAGCAGAGGAACGGATCCCGCTGTTTCAACGATCTTTCACCCACTCTCTGTCCCTCGTCGAACAAACGGAGGAAGGTCGATGGAAGAAAGACATGAACAATGCAGAATGATCTCAAACGCGGCGAAAGATCGTCTCTAGCCGTTTCACGCAGAGGATCTCCCGTAGGAGGCTCACTTCAGGTCTTCCTCGTTCTCGTTGGCCAGCAGTTCGTCGATCTGCTTCTCCCAATCTTCCTTATCCATCGTGCCGCTGCTTCTGACCGGCGCCGCTGTGGCGCTGCTCTCGTTACCTGTTACTACCTCGTAATCCTTCAGCTCCGCTTCCAATTCGCGTTCCCAATCTTCTTCTGCGGAGATTCACAAGCAGCGTTGTAGCTAGTTTCAAGCGGGCCACGCGGCCTCTTGTTCGGCGCGTGTCAATGTACGTGTTGTTTGCTCGCATGTACATTCGCATGTGTACGTGTGTTATGTGTGCATAATCGCGATCTGTTTTAGGGTGTAGGTGTATAGCGTCCGTGTATCCGTATCCCTATACGCGAGTCGCGTGCACACGATCTAATAGACGGAACGGGTGTTCCAATGCCGTGTGTTCCGATGTGTGTCACGGATTCACGAGCCGCGACTTGGTACAATCGAGCGAGTCGTTTCCAGCGAGTGCTTGCCGCCTGTTTCTTCGCATCGATCTCGCGACGCGCCGGTCCGTGTGTCTCCGTGTGTGCAAGTGTCGAAATTTAATCGTGTGTCCGTGTTAGTGTTAGTCGGGACGTGGGTAGGTGGCGTAGGGGTCGAACTGGAGAAGGGCGAATGGGGGTGGGTCGGGCGACGGAGGCAAAAACTCAAACCACACACAAGGACAGAGAAGAACCGAGAAAAGGGGGTGGTGAACGCGAAACGGAACCGGATAGACGGGTTTCCGGCATGCCTCGCTACGCTTTCTTCTGGAAGATTCGATGGAGTCGCGAAGCATTCCGAGTTTCGTACGGAGGTCCCGCCGCTAGATGTCGTTCCTAGATGCCGTTTCGCGAACGTGTGACCGCGAGTCCCACGAAATGCCAAAGAAACGCCAGAGAAATATCAGAGAAACGCCAGAGAAACTCGAGAGATACACGAGAGAAACGCGCCCGACTCGATCGACCGCGAAGAAAATCTATTCCGGCTATGCGATGGGAGCTATTACGTCTCGAATCGTAAATTCGATCTATCGTGGAATCGCGTTAAACTATCGAAGCCTGAAAATCGACCCACACGAATCACGCGCATGCCCAAAAGTTCCACCTTACATGCCGAACCGTGTAATTAATTATCGTTATTTCTCGTCGTATATTCGTTTGTGGAGCTCGTTTTTCTGGACCGATCGAACGAATTATTTTCGCGTGTCGAACTCGGAAAGTCGAGAGCTAACCAAATTCTTCACCGTCGGCCCGATAACTCGCCCTCTCTCTCTCGCACACACGCGCACATGCACAGCTCTCTCTCGCTCTGTCTCACCCACTAACAATCTCCCTCTGTGTGTGTATATCGATTCGTCTTTACATGCGCTCTCCATGTCAAGTCTAGTCGACGTTCGATAGCCCGGCGAACGCCGGTGTATCGAAGCCTCGCGCGTTCGTGTCTATTATTTTTGCTTCTCCTTTGTCGATTTCTTTCCATCCGCGTTTTCTCTTCGCCTTGAATTCCCTCTACTCCTTCTCGTTTTACTTTATTTATTCGAAATCAGGTGCACCGGTGCACGTGCGAATTTTCTCGCGTGCTCGTTTACGCCGCTTAAGCGTCCGTCCATACGGAAAACGCATTTCGCGTTTCCGAATTAATTTATTCCCGCTCTCGTTTCCACGTTCCGGTCGCTTCGTATCTCCCAATCGTTATTCGCGCAACGATTTTCTCCTTACAGCGTTCATTCTTTCTCCCTCGATCGCTGCTTTCCCATTCGGAAATTTCGTTCGGGAGAGAAAAACTTCATTTTCTCTGCTTTCTCTCGCTGCCATGTTTAATACCGTTTCACACCACGCACGATCCTTCGAGCGAAGTGGTGTTCGAGTGGACGGGCGTGTAAACGGATCGCCCCCGGCCGGTTGTTTTTACACCGTGAATCTTCAGCGTGTAAACTCTCTGTTAAGTTAGATTTAATTGAATCGGAAGGAAAATCACTACGAGGACTACACCCACGAGAGACGAGACGAAAGTTACACCTCGATCCCCGTTTTATTTACTTAGCTTTCATATTATTTTTTTTTTTTTGGGCTTTTTTTTATGCTTTTCTTTTAAAACACGTATTGTCATTCAACGAATTTTTATACTTTATTACACTTTTTCTTATTTTCGTTTTAAACAGTTTTTTTTACTCGTTTTAATTTACGGTAACGCTTAGTTAAATTCTTCTCCTTGCCCTCTCCGTCTCTTCTTCCACTTCCAGCTGCGTTCTTTTGAAATTTGCTTTTTTCCCTTATTCTTGAAACAAATTATTTTCCTTTTTTCTCGCTTGAAAAGAAGATACCGACTGTGATCAGCAGGCGCGTCTCATTCGTTCGGCTATTCGTTCCTCGCGCGTTCGAGAAACTGCTGTGATCGTAAAATTTCGCAAAAATACGCGAAAATTCGCGTGAAACTCGCGAAAGAGCGCTCCGCTTTCCCCCAAGAGCCACAATTTCGCGTCGTCCTTCCCTTCTCTTCACGGTACACGCCACCCTCTTCGATTCCTCGCCATGTTTCCTCGCCCTTTCCGTCCTCGCTTTCTCGCTTTCTCGCTTCCGTTGCGTTATGCGTTTAATGCTTCGTTTAACGTTTTACAACACGGAGAGAATCGACAAGAGACAATATTTATTGATTAAGAACGAAGACAGACAGACGACAGACAAACGGACAGACATACAGACATTTAATCGAGTTTTATCTCTGCTTGTGGTTTTATACGATTTTTCATTTGCGTGTATATATATATATTTTTTTTTCTCTTTTTTTTCGTGTTCTTCATTTCGTTTTTTACCAAAGGTTCATTATTTACTTAGTATTTTTTTTTATCATTATTCTTACCCTCTCTACCGCGTTCTCTCCTCGGAAGAAGCGTTCCTCTCATTCTTCCTCTCCCTCGCGCACCTACACACGTTCTCTACCTCTTGCTCTCTCACTCTTTCACTCGCGCTCGCTCTCTCTTGCTCTCCCCTCAGCATGCGTGTCAATTAGTCGCGTGTCACTACTCGCTATCATCGATTTACGCGTTATTTTATTATACGTTAATTTACTTTATTTTACTTTACTTTATTTTATATTATTTTAATGTTTTTCTTTCCTTTTTTCTCCATTTATCACGTTTCAAGTCCGACGTGTCACCTAGAACGCTGCTTATTCGTCCCTTATTCGTCTATTTCCCCACCTCTCCCTCTGCCTCTCTATCACTCCCTTTCATTTCTTCACTCCCATTTCCCTCTCCCTTCTTTCTCGAACGCGTCTGGTAAATTTGCGGAAATTAAAAAGGGGTGGTCGCCGGGTCGTCCAGCCGGGACCGGGCCCGGGCGACCAACGGACATCGACGTACCACAGTGACGAATAATCGACAACGAACACGACGGCAAGCAAACATCGACGACAACTAGAGTAACGATAACGGAAACCGCGCGTGGTGAAAAGCGCCCCCTAGGATCGCTGGTCGGTCACTTACGCGCGTGGCACGAGATCGCGTCGACGCATCGGGGTTGCTGCGGGTGGATGGAGAACGAAAGAGGGGAACAGAACAGAAACGAAAAAACAAGGCATGACGAAGAAAGCAAAACGCGGGGGTGGAAGCAAAATCGCGGGACGACCGATCGTCCCGTGAGAAGGTCTCCCCGCGTGGCCGAGCGTGGTCTCTGAGCGACTCGACCACGGGTGGCATCGAAAAGAAGACTAAGAAGAAGAAGAAGAAGAAGAGTAAGAATAAGAAAAAGAAGAAGTAGAAGAAAAGAAAAAAGAGAAGGAGGGTTCGAGGAGATCGTGGACGAGAACCGAAAAGCTCAACGTCGGTCTTCGAGACGGGGAAAGAAGCTTGTCGTATTTATTTTCTGAGGGGTGTGCTTTGGATAATGCTTTTTATCGGGGGATTCTCCTCTTCTTAGGCTGTTGACAGAATAGAATGGAAAAGCGGTCGTTTAGTCACATCAGGCATCATAAAAGTCAGACGAGAGACTAGCAGGGTTCAAACATAGAACGAGGAACGAGACAAACTCTCTCTCATTTTCTCTCTCCCTTTCTCTCTCTCTCTTTCTCTCCAGAGACCAAGCGTACCATGTATGACTATAAAAAAAAGAAACTGACAGCAGATTGTATATCGTATACGAGCAATTCCTACTAGAATAAGAAGCACACTGATAGGAGAAGTTGGAGAAGCTCGCGCGAAAAATGAACAAACGGAATAAAAATATCAAAAAGTAGGAAAGAACAGAAACGAGCACACAGACTACAAACGTGACGCAACGTGGTTAGCTGAACGCTGGTGAAAAGATAGGTGGAATATATCGATAGATCGATTTTTAATTCTGACGTTCATCTGCGGGTATACTCACGAGGGATGTGTTCTTGGACACCTTGTGTCTTGGACATAGATCGCTCGATCCGAGAGCAACTTCTCTCTTCTGTTTCTCCAAATTTGCGTCTCAAATTCGTCACTGTTTGTTTTTCTTTTAACGAATTCCACGTCGAAATGTTCGACGTTCGTTTCCGGTGTAATCGCGATGCGAATTTCGCACTTTCACCCGGTGCGCCGACGAATAAATATTCATCGAGGCCGCGGGCGAGCGAAACAGAAAAGAGAATTCGTTCCTCTTCGAGTATATACATATATGTATCCTCCCCTGTTCCGAAAATTTCGTTGGTGGTCGTAACGGGACAACACGCGCGAACATCTCGTCCAAACATTGCATTCCCGGTCACTGATCGTGAGGAGGTGTGTGTACAGAACAATTTCGAATCATCGTGCACCGCGCTTTTCTCAAGGATGATTTCGATCGAGGACACAGCACGAATAAGGAAGCACCGTGATCTCGTGGAAAGTTTCATCTATACTTTCCCCTTTCTCCGTATCCACCCTGGTATTCGTGCCAGTAGTCGTGAATATTAGAAATTATCATCGCAATTTTCAACTCTGTTTCCAGATTTATTTTTATTTCGTTAAGATTGATCAGGGAACGAACGAGGAATTAACGAGGAATTAATCAATCGAAAATTATGCCACGAGTTATCCAAGTCGTGTTTCACGTTCTGCACGGTAGTAATCGTTAGCAGAAGGCAAGGTTAACGACGACCAACGATCAACTAACCTTTAGGTGGCTGCATCCCCAGCTTTTTCATGCCCTCGCGGACCTCTTCGAGGTCCGTGTCCGAGACCCTCATGCTATCGGACACGAATTCGTGGCCCGGCGAATCGGCCAACGCGCTGTTACTTCCGGTCATCACGGATCCGCTGCTTTCCTGGCCAGTGGTCACTTGAACTGTTCGCAAGACAACACTCACGGCTAAACTAGGAGGGACGGGTACTGCCTAAACAGCTAAAAGCTTCTAAGGTCTAGCACGTTCTCTATTATAGCCGTTAACGCATTTTTCTCTTTATCGAAAACGCTAAATCGTTGCACGTGCAGGCTGCGTGTGATCGATTTAACTGTACAAAAGCTTGCTGCGCTCTATCCTAGTCTAATTCTAGCTCTCTGACAACCGAATAATAAACAAACTTCAATTCCTGTAACTCGATTAAAAAAAGTAAAAGGAAAAGAAAGAAAATCGGTGGGAAAAGAATAAAAATAAAGAACGAGGAAGAAACGAAGCTTCCTGTATTAAGCGAAGAGTCTGCAGAAATATCAGACTCGGTCTCCAAGGGATTCCCAACTTCGAGATCATCGAATTTCAAGCACGACTTAACCGGACGCCAGGGCATTAACATCCTTCGCGGCAGTCACACGGCTTCGAACAAACGGAAGTCGACGTTGGAACCGCGGAGAACGGTGGCCAGGGATCGAATTCTCATTTCGCGAGAGAGAGAAGGAAGCCAGCCGGAGAACACGGACGAACGGGACGCGGAAGGGTGAACAGCCTCTGGAAGATAGCTTCGAATTCTCATTCACGAGCGATCATTCTCAGGATCAGACAGTATTTCAGCAACCATTCACCTTCCACTCCCAGACGGCTCTCGTATTTCGTTTTATCCCGTTCGTTCATCTCCACCCGGATGAAATTCCATTGTTTGTCCGGATTCCTCCTCACGATCCCGCAATTTCGACCCGGGCCAGCGGCTGCCGCTTTTCCGGAAGCCTCTTCCTCCCGACGTGCTGACACGCTCGATTTTCCACCGGATAAAACGCATCGATGTTTCACGGAGCATCGTCGTTTCGCCGCGAATTAACACGCCGCGCTAACGATTCGATTTTTCATTGTCCGCGGTACGATGGAGATACTTCCGATCATCGATAACTATCGCGCGAATCTGTGTCGCGACGTCATCCATTTTGCGTCGCCGATTTACTTCTATCAATCATCGCCGGCGGCCGAAACAGCCAACGACGGATGGTAAAAATTTTCCATTAAAAATCAAAATTCGGAAATCAAAATTCGGGAATCAAAATCCACCGATCTCGCCGAGCAATCTGTCAGCACGTTGCTTTCAATTCGTCCACGGATGAATCCGTATAACTCGTGGAACTCGGAAACGCGGCAGATCGAGCGTGATCGTAGCCGTGCGACACCCGTGAAAGTTCCACCCTCCTAGGATGATCTCTCCGATTCGATGTTTCATCCTAGAGGACCGACGTTCACGAGGACGTTGTACGCCGCCGCGAGGAGGCAAAGATCCTTTCGACTCGACGGATCGGAAATTACCGTGCTACTTCTCCATCAACAAGGGGGACGTGAAGTCAAGCGGCTCGAAATTGCGATGCAAACTAAGAGGCAACGGACGTGCACACACTGGAAGAAACGAAAAAGGGTGGTGTGGTCGTGTGTGCACGTTCCACGCGTGCCTCCGCGATCGACCCTTTCGGATAAGTGACGTCGATGGCTGGATATCGAATCGCGACACTTGCCTCTCCAATTTCCATACCTTTTTTTTTATTTTTTATTTTTCTCTCCGTTTTTATTTTCTATTTTTCTCTTGTTTCTCTATTTTTTTTTACCCTTTGTTTCGGTTTTCTCTCTTTTTTTTTGTTTTTTCCGTCGTAACAACGCGTGACTGCTCTGCAGCAACGGTAAGATAAATTGGAAAGCGTACTGATTCGTTTTTTTCGTGTTCACCACTTAATCTGATCGTTTCGAAGAGTCTCGATACTTTTTGGGCTTTTTTATTTGTTCGTTGCAACAACGCGTGACTTTTATGCGGCAACAATAAGTTCATTCGGAAAGCACACGGACTCTGTTTTCAGCGTACACCGCTTAATCCGATCGGCTTCAGGAGCCTCGACTCTTTTTCATTTATTCGTTTCCCGATTTTTTTATTTCCTTTGGCACGCGACCACGCGTGATTTTGATTTTTACGCGACAGCTAAATTAGTTAAACCGGAATGCAAGTTAATTCTGTTTCTCCAAGCCGTTTATTTTGTTTCTCTTTTTCTTCGTTTTTATTTTCTTCATTTCTTTTTTCCCGTGATTTTAGCGTGATTTTCATGCGACAGTAATAAGTTAAATCGGAAAGCAAGTTAATTTTGATCCTTAACCTTTTAACTGCGAATGACGAGTTAACTCGTCGAGAAACGTATGCGTTGTTGTATGTTTTAAACCGTAGTATAGAGCTGAATAAAATTAATTTGTGCTCTGAGTGCTTTTTTCTTCGGAGCCATATTGTTTAATAACAGAATAAATTACAAATTACATCTTTTCGCAACTCTGAGTGTGTGATGCATTAACTCGTCAGAATTAATTCGCGCGATGCATTTTTTTATTCCAAGGCAATTTTCATAAGTTAATTTCTCAGTTAAAAGGTTAAAATCGTTCTTTTTCCTTTTTCTCTTTCTTTACCTTTTTCACCGCGACGATACGATAATTTATCCTTTAACCTAATTACTCGGAGGATCCTTGATCGGCAATCCGACTCTCCGTATCGTACCAATTTGGGCGTTAAAAATTTGATTAGCTAATCCCAGTCACGCAGGATCTACCTCCGCCTGTATGAAATATGGATTTGATTTAACTCGCGGCCGAGACCTGGTCGACTTGGTCCCTTGAATTATGCAACATCTGTCCATTGCTTTACCACGTCGCCGATTTACTATCTCGCGGCTAACGAGGTATACTAAAAGGAGGCTTAATCAGTCGTGAATGACCAGCCAACGAGTGCACGCGGTGTTTCGCTTGACCTGACCACTCAAAACATCTCCGTTGCTTTGCAAATCATACGAAACCGTAGGAAATCGTGACGTCTGTGTGTACATATGCATCAATGAACTCGATGATCCGAAACTCGACTTACCTTCGCTCCACTCCCGTTAATCGTCTCAACAAAATCGACCGGTCCAATCGAAATAGAAGATACAAGAGACACTACTAGCTACTGGATGTGACCACTCAATAACGATGATCGTTCTCACGGAAAAGAAACAATTAACAAAACCAAAATAAAGATGAAAACAACGCAGATATTCTAAATGGCCAAGGGACGTGTGACACGATGCACAATCGAAACACTTCTATGATCGATAGGGTCGAACGGAAGGCACGGTGATGTCTGATGGCAGGAACGCATTATAACACGATACCAAGAATGGAACTAAAGATAACGATAATAATAATACTGGATAAGCGTGAATGGCGTGATCAGAGGTCCCAATTACCTTCAGCTTGATCCACGGTTCCGGCGGAGCTCTGGTTCAGGTTGTTCTCCGCCTGGTTGGCCATCGTGTTCAGCTCGTGGCTCTGACGGAGTACCGACACCCGGTAGAAGTAGTTCCGCCAGAAATTCTCTTCTGATATTCTGCTCGACACACGGTACGAATTAATCCAGGTCCGAGAGACCTGTCCTCGGCCTCTGTATAGAGGAACCGACAGCCCTAAGCGTCGCCATTTCGCTTCCGAGTCGCCGTAATCGGACGCCGCTTTGGAAATTGCCAATTAACGCCAGCCATCCCGGACTGATCTAATTTAGAACCGTGGGTAAATAATCGCACAGACGTACGCGAAGGAACATGCACTCGAAACTCGGATGCGTATCGACCTACGGGGCCGATGATAGGTCTCGAGATACCGCCGCAATCAGGGACTCGTTTCCGGGGCCACTTCCGGAAATTCGTTCCGAGAAATTGCCAGCCATCCACGGCAGTGCACCTGCGGTTTTTCATGCACCGTGGCTTGTTCGTAAGTTCGGTTTGCTCTCTCGATGCAAGTTCGAGAGGAGGAACTCGCGAGGGAATTTTAGAGGAGGGGTTTTGCGGAAGGATGAGAAAATTTCTGCAGATTTTCCGCGGGTTCGAGAGCGATTTTGGTTTCGCTGTATCGAGATGGCGGAGGGGAGAATAAGATTGAATCAGAAGTGGCGTGTGTAATGGGGTTAAATGTACGAGGGTTGTTTAATATCGTTGAACAAGGGAATTATCTGCAGATTTTCCGCAGAGAGATTTCGATTTCGCCGTATAAAGATGGAACGGAGGAGGAAATGACGGAAGCTTGAATTAGAAGTGGCGCCGAGGGTAATGGGGTTGAATGCACGTTGAATAATATCGTTGAAGCATAAGGGAGATTCAGGTGGAGTTTTATGAAGCGATAACACTGTCCAACAAATTTTAACTTCTCTCTAATTTGTAATATCCATTAGGCGATTCTCGTAGAGCTTATTTTCTCAGATAGGAATTTTTAATAGAAATTGTTCTATCACCCTTAGTTTCCAAAAAATGTGAGTTTTCCTAAAAACGCGGGATTTTTGGCTAAAATGAAGTATCGCGTGAAAAGTAAGAATATTAGGAGGTTCATTGTTGTCTTATAAATTAGGTAAGAGTATTCCGAGTTTATTAACACTAGATTTACGAAACCCGTTAATTTGATGGAAGGGTTGCTCCGATTATACGATGGTAACAGATTTAGTTAACTTATATTAACCCTTTACAGTCGAGAGGCGCCTCTCAGTCGCCATTTCATAAAATTTGGAAGATCGATTTTAATTAATATATCAAATTTAATGTGACATAACAGTGTGCAACGTATCGAAATCAAATAATTCTACAATTCTGTTGTTATATAATTTTTTATTTACTACTCAAAAAAGTATAGTCAGTTTTCTAGTTGAGAATCTTTGAACTTCTGCTCTTCTCTAGCTAAAAAATCGTCGAGTGCAAAGGATTAACACTGTTAATATAATATATAATTGTTTTTAAATTAAACTAATCGTTAAAGAAAAAGACACGTGGTTTCCTTTACCTGTCAATTTGACAGGTGTCCTTAGAAATAGGTATACAGATAGCGTCCGTAAATTATGTCCATAATTTCGTTATTCGATACATAAATGACTTTTTAATATTTCATTGCAAGATTATTGTAAGGCCCCTGGGCCAGGGTCTCTATGCGTAGCCACCTCCTGAGACTTGGTAATTTATGTCCTTTCTCAAAGAATAATTTTTGGGAAACGATGCCAAGCAAAGAGCTACACCCTAAATTTAATATATTTCCTATCTATTGCAAATTTTCAAAGTTTCTCCTGAACCTGGTTAATTTTCCCAAATTTTCCAAAAAACTCGCAATTTTCGAAAACCGAGAGAATAATTTCGATTACAGACTCGTTCTTTGGGAAGTAAACCCTACAGGAATTAACAATGGATATTTCAGATTAAATTTCAGATATCAATTTTACAAAAGCAGTTGCACGTTTTCAGTAATAAAATAGCAGGAATAAAATATTCAGAACCAGCCATGTTCCCTAGTTTGGTAATTCTAGCGGTAATATCGATTTGGAAAATATTATTTCACCGAAATTTCCAGGACCCGGGGAATATCCGGCGCGAACTCCGTGGAATGAAAGCGGAATAAAATTACTCACACTTTCGGCACCAGCTGGAACCTCATGTTCTCCAAATTCGGATCCAGGGCGAGAGTGGCCTGTGCCATCGGTTGCACGGCCTCGAAGTCCCACGGGAAATCGACTTCCTTTGGCGGCGACTTCAGGAAGTTGCGTTGATCCTGAAATCAACGTTCGCGTGTATCCAAATTCCTTTGCACTTTATCGCCGTCGATTTCTCGAGGACACGCGAGCCTGTATCGCGATGAACCGATTCCGGGATAGCCTCGAATAGGGTTTCAGTTCGAGTGATATCCATCTTCAGCGAAACATCGTTGTTCCAAGAGGGCCAATTAAAGAACGATCGATCCGGCTTAATGGGACAAATACCCCATTAGTCGCGGAAGTCCAATTTCAACTGGGGTGATCGATACTAATCGCGACACGATCTCCCGAATATAATTAACACAGGCCAATTTTCATTTACAACGTAGACGATGATCATATTTGTTCGCCAAGGCGTGTGTATATCGCTGAAAAATATCTGGGAAAAGTTTCATTCATTTTTTTGCATCGCATAATCTGTTTACGGATTAAAAGGATTACGTATAAAAATGTCTACAGTTATTTTATTATTTATCTTTACATCGATGCACGGTGCAACACGGAATATAACGAACAGATAAAATTGATTCTACAAAGTTAATATGCAACGACAAAATTGGCTATGATGGTCAAAAACATTATTCGCGGGTTATATAAAAATGGTAGAATAAAATGTTTTAAATTGTTTAACTCGTGTTTCGTTTTATTCACGTTTTTCAATAAATAATTTCAATTTGTTGTTCCGATCGCATAAGGAAGCGATAAGTATTAATCCTGCTCATGAATTCGTGATTAATTTGCATACTTCAGTAACACTCGCGTACCGTAATCGATCGAAACGTCCCACGTACGAAGAGACGCGAAATTATTAGTTCATCCGTATTATTAATTTATCTTAACCGTGGTGCTGTATTTTCAATGGAACTTTTATTTAATCCGTCTTAAGTCTCTCACGATACCGCGTAAATTCATCGGACTTGCCCGATAATATCGACATAAATCGACGTGATAATTTCAAAGCTTCAGCAATACACGGTCATCGCGTTGCCATCCATACGTATTATTAATTCACGAATCAAATTAAACATCTGCATATGTATTTCGTTGCCGCGAATCATCTCGAATTACCGATCTCCAAATCACCAATCCTAAACGCGCCTCAACCAAGCGTATCGGATGCTAAAATCATGGACCTCGCTCGTTAAGCATCCCCTAAATAATCTCCCGAAGTATGGTCAATCAAAAATACTCGAGGATCGTACGAATACCTTCAGAATCTTCTTAATTATGAGTATCGAATGCTAAAAATCGCGGAATTCACTCGTTAAGCTTCTAAAACTTTAAATTATTTCTTGAAAAATACTCGACCAAAAATATTCTCGGAAGCCACATACAGTCGCCATTTTAACGCGATCATGGTATACATACACTTGGAATCGAATAGATTCTTAATGAAGCCTATAGAATGACAAAGATAGTGAACTCTAGACCCGAAGCTTCCTTAAAATTATTTCTCCAAACGTACTCGATCAGAAATATTCCCGGAAGCCATGCACAGTAGGCATCTTACCGCAATTATCGTGCATATACACTCGGAATCGAATAGATACGTAATGAAATCGATCGAATCACAAAGATAGTGAACTCTAGACCCGAAGCTTCCTTAAAATTATTTCTCCAAACGTACTCGATCAGAAATATTCCCGGAAGCCATGCACAGTAGGCATCTTACCGCAATTATCGTGCATATACACTCGGAATCGAATAGATACGTAATGAAATCGATCGAATGACAAAGATCGTGAACTCTAGACCCGAAGCTTCCTCAAAATTATTTTTCCAAACGTACTCGATCCAAAATCTTCCCGGAAGCCATGCACAGTAGGCATCCTACCGCAATTATCGTGCATATACACTCGGAATCGAATAGATACGTAATGAAATCGATCGAATGACAAAGATAGTGAACTCTAGACCCGAAGCTTCCTCAAAATTATTTTTTAAAACGTACTCGATCCAAAATCTTCCCGGAAGCCATGCACAGTAGGCATCTTACCGCAATTATCGTGCATATACACCCGGAATCGAATAGATACGTAATGAAATCGATCGAATGACAAAGATAGTGAACTCTAGACCCGAAGCTTCCTCAAAATTATTGTTCCAAACGTACTCGATCAGAAATATTTCCGGAAGCCACGCTCAGTAGCCATCTTATCGCGATCACCGTAGGTATATTCGCACTCGAAGACTCGAGGAGCGCGTGAGAAGCTCGCGGAGTGTTTGAGGAGACTCTAACTGCGTGGTACTCGTGGGTCTGCTTCGTTTTTGCGAGGATCATGGTCGCGACGTGTGCCGCACTGACTCGATGCGGCACCCTCTTCAGCGGGTGGCGGTGACGGAAAGGAGGAATTACTCACCGTCGACAGAGATAAGCATTCTTCGCGTAGTATGTCCTCGTTCGGTGCACCGACCCACGGTGCGACGGCCTCACCCTTTTCGGTGTGCTTGTTGGCAATGAAAGCCTCCTGTTCTTTGTTCAGCTCGGCGACCAATCTCTGGAATACCATTAATTCAGCGTTAGAGAGCAGCTGTCGTGTGGGACATCGTGTGTGTGGCTGTGTCTCGCCAGGGGCCACGGGATAGAGAGCAATTAACGGTGTCATCGATGGGACGCGGACGTTGGAAGCGCGGCGTAGCTATTTCCGCGCCACGCGACGAGCTCTCGCGGTAAAAAGCGGAGAGCACCGACAGGGTACGTTCACCCCTCGGTTAATTAGATCGTTATTATCGTATTTTCGTCGATAGCTGCGCACCGGGGCTAAGATCGTATTGATCACCTCGGCGAATGACGGATTCTGCAGACTCGCTGATGCTGGATTCGCCCGTGTATCGTGCAAATGGAAATAGAAATAGAAGTAGCAAGACTATGAGAGTTGAATCCGAGAGTGACGGGTCAATACCCGATGGTTTGGGTTAAGATGAGACTGTTATCCTTGGGATTCATGCATCGTGATATCGTGGGAACGTTGGATCGCGGATGGGCTATCTCGTAGCAGGTGAACTCTAGAATGAAAGAATAATAATCACGTTTAACAGGATAATAACGGAATAACAATCATGTAACGAGCTCCTGCGCTCCATTCTCGTGACTCCTGTGCCAATAACCGGGTTCACAGGTACTCCTTTGCACATTATCGTTTGAAATATCGTATCTTGCGGCTTAACGCTAAGCCCACCATGGCCTAAATGACCGTTTTTAAAACTTTCATTCAAAATTCCCAGTAATCAATCTTCCAATGTCCTCCTTTATTCAATTTCTTAAAGATTCTACTGCTTTTTCATTCACCGATCATTTAGCCGTAGTGGATTTAACGATAAAAGGACTTTAACGTTACAGTATTGTACATAGAAAATACTTTTACTCCTTGGGACGAATCACTAACCGATGACTTCTTGTTTTACAAATTCCCTATAGTACAGTCTAAACACCGTCATCTCTATTTCTAGCTCCCAAAGGGTCACTATCCGACTAGACCCCGTTACTTGACACATTCCTCGCCGATGCCTGCTTCAAGTTCAGAATTCCAAAAATAATATCCCTACATCGCACGAGACACTGGTCGAGACATTCGTAGCATACCCATTTTTTACATCCCAAACAAAACTGCATACAAGACAGAAACTCCCAGAGCACCAAAGTCCCCGATAATGCTACTTACCGACGTAAGAGTTAAAAATTCTTCCTACCCCGAGTCACATTCCCCAGATCCTCATCTCTCTACCTCATTCGCTACATTCATTCCTAAAACACATTCCCGAATATCCAGCCAGAATCCAGAATCTTGCGTGGTCATGCATCCTCCACCCACGGAACAATCTCCGGCACTTGCTCCAAGCGCTCCTCTTTCACCCACCTCTAACTCGCCGAACCAAGTATCCTCGTCTCCTATTCACACCCCCATTGCCGCGATTCCACATCCGAACTTCATTCGCTCGTCGCGAATTCTATCGCCCCCGCGATATTTAATAAAAATGCTCACAGCTAGCACGCGAGAGGAGTACCTCTATCCCGAGCTACTCAGGAACAGAAACGTGGAGATTTCATGAAACGGGCGTCAATCAGAGCGGCTTTATGCGACCTTCCTCTGTTCATTAGATTTCCACGGGAGCTAGGTGTCGGTGGAATCGTATCCCGATTTTACGGCAGCGTTTCTTCGAGAAGCCGGATTTACCGTCAGGCGAGTCGGGTTATCAAGAGCTACTTATTCGAAATGACGCAAGCTTCGCGGAGTGTCGAGCGAAATTTCCTTTGAACAACGTGTAACACCTGTCCTACGATGGGATAAATGAAATTAAAAAGAACAAAACTGGGATAAGCAGGGAACAACGAAGACGGGGGGACACAATGGAACGGACGGCAGGGATCGAGGTAAGAACGAAGAAAAATGGACGACCAGAGAGCGTGGGGATACCGAGAGACAGGGTGAGACCGGAAGGATTAAAGGCAGCGCACCACGATGCCTGGACTAAAGCACCAGCGGAATATCCTCCTTATTATCGCTCCAGTATTTGGGTCAACGAAGGTCTTCGCGATCTCCGACTCCGTGAACCCCATGCTGGCTTCCGAGGACCTGATATTACACGGTAGATTTAAGGAAATCGGCGTCGTTCAGATTCCAACCAGAGAATTAACTTTTACCGCTGTTGCGTCGCGTCTGTGCCCAATGAGGCCCTTCGTGTCGCGCTGATAATTCCCCAAGGTTGTTCAAAGCGAGTAGTAAACTCGAGGAATTAAGTTTTATAGGAGTCTTCCAGCTTGGAGGATCGAAAGAATCGACCATAACTGCAATCGTGTCCACATGTCAGACTCGATATTTTTTTGAGTGAAAATTAATAATTATTTTAGAAGTTATTGAGATATGCTTAGGTGAGAGTGATTTAACCCTTTGCACTCGAGAGGTGCCCTTCAGTCACCATTTGATAAAATTTCTAAGATCGATACTAATTAATATGTCAAATTTAAGACAATGCAACGGTGTGCGAGGTATCGAAATCAAATAATTCTATGTATTAATTATCATACGAATTCTTATTTACTTCTTCAAAAAATATCGTCAGCTTTACAGCAGAAAATCTTTGAACTCCTGCTCTTCTTTAGCTAAAAAGTCGTCGAGTGCAAAGGGTTAAATCACTCTCACCTAAGCATATCTCAATAACTTCTAAAATAATTATTAATTTTTACTCAAAAAAATATCGAGTACCCTCAAAACTAGATGGATCCCAATTTCAAGGAGGTCGAGGGAAGCAAAACCTCTGTTTCCTATACATATAACTTCCAGACCTTCTAATAGTATCCCTGTCTAGAATGCCTTACTGACGAGTCCACTAGCAGGCCTAGGACGAAACGCATCCCTTCTTTTTCCTTTCGTCACACAAGCTGATTTTAACAACCGTGAGGAAGGATCTCGTACTGCATGAAAGACTATTACGGTTTCTTCAGTAAAAATTATCGTAATCCGAGCACCCTTTCTTATTTCTACACCAGAAGACCCTCCCTTAACACTGGAACTACCGATCTTTAGTGGGCACCTAATTATAACGTGCACGGATTATAGTAATTCCAGCGGTACCGATGAATATGAGTGAATATATCGATTACAGTTCTTTCTTAATATCAGTTGATACCAATTTTATTCTTAAAGCAGGTGTATGTGCTCGGTGATTGCAAAAAGAAAATTTCTGGGACCAGTCATTTTCACCGGGTTGGTAGTTCTAGTGTTAATATGGAACGATCTATTCGATGATTTACTCGATAATCCATCGTAAATAAATTGAACGAATTCGAGAGTTGCCATTGCAGGCCATTTGCAGTCGAATCGATCAGCGTCGACTCGAATGCGAATGGATCCTCGCCTGTGGTACCGTTGTAGGTGAAATTAAAGCACGTCGGAACCGACGACCTCTGACTCGGCGAAATCCAAGTGGAAGAATCGCGAGGAGTCCTAATGCATTAAAGATAGGACACCCCGTGGCACCAGGGATCGGACTCGGCTGGCCGAATCCTTATTATCGCGTTCGCATTTGGGTCAACGAAGTTCTCCACTCGACGACGTAGACGGTGCATCGGCGTCGCGACGGCGGCATTCTTCGCTAACCGCGTCCCTCTCGGTCGATATTTTTGTTTCGAGCTTTACAAGTTCGCCCGTTAAGCGCCACCAATCTCGACGCGAAATGAACGACTTTTGCCAGCGACGGGGTCGCTGCGAAGATCGAGTGCCATTTTTCCCTGGCACCCAACCCTCCGGCGTGTAATCTCTGGCGCTTGTAATCTATCGTTCGTTAAGCGCGGGTCATCGACAGCCAGGGTGATCTACGGGAGTAATGAAATCGCGTGAATTTCCCGCCGATACACTCGTTCTACCCCCTCGATTGCAAACGCGAGGAATCGCAGCATGGTTCGGGCAACCTTCGAATTTATAACCCTTTGCACATCGATCAATTTTTCATTTCGTCGAATAGCGGCAACACAATTTTTCCATTCGAAGCTTTTTCAAATCGAAATTCTCATTAATATTTATTTATACGGTAATAAATTCGCCTTTATAATTATTCGTAATAAAACTGAATACCAATTTACAGATAAGCAATGTCTCCATAATGGCGTCAGTGGAGCGCGAAGGGTTCATTTTTCTCCGTTAGGAAATGCAATTTTTTTTTTTTATGGGAAAAGCAAAAATGCGTTGGTGCATATTTGCGTAAAACAAATTGATTTTGCTTATAATATTATAGTATAAATAAAATTTAAAAATTTTTGTCCTTGTTTGTTTAAATATAAATATCGAAATACGTGTAATATTTGAAATACCTAGCGGGGTATAGGGTACCCTAGATATTATAAATATAACTCCGTATTAACTGCGAAGGATAAATTCGTGTTTGTCAGGGCGATTATGAAACTGAATGACGTAAGTCGTACATTTCGCTGTACGTATATTATAGATTAAAACAATGAATTGCGACAAAGATATAAACCCCATTTGAAGGTTCGATTCTCTGCTATTCTGCCAAAAGTAATAACTTAGACCCCTTTCATAATTTTATAATATTCAGCGTTAGGCTAAAATCGTAGCCTCATCAGGTACCTACTTAACGCTAGGTTTCGTCGCTGGAGTTACAAACTTTAATATATACCACGGTAGTTTACAGAATTTTCCATTTTCGAAGCAATCCTCCACCAGATGCGGAGCACGTAAGGTTATCTTCGATTAAATATTTGCTCCATGACGGAGACCGATGACAAACCCCTGAAATGAAACCGGAAGGTCTCCGCGTACGAGTTGTTCGCCAAGAGCGACGCGTCGCTTCGGCGCCACACGGATTAACTTCGGGTTACAATTTCCTCAAAATCCGTCGATCCACGAAAACTTCGTTCTACAAAAGGTTCTTATATTTGCTCGCAAGTTCGCAGTATTCCAGATACCACCGCGAGATTTCCGGCCCGCCTCTGTGTCGAGACCAGGAATTTGCGCGCCAGTGGCCCAGAAAACTCGGTTTA